ACCTTCCAAGCCACGGCTTTTAGCGCACCGTGATAGCTTCAAGCGCGTCAGATTGTTTATAGTGAGGAAAATGCGCTGAGTCGTCGAGCTCACTCTCCCTTCCCATTCCCACACCCCAGCCACTGTCCGAGCCGGTCTGTAGACTGGAGTGGGGAATGGGCGCGGTGGCTGACATGGTCGACTGACCATGCCTGCGCGCGCCACAGCACGACCTGGCCCCCCATACACACAAACACCAGGATTTCACACAACGGGGGTTGAACGGCGTGTCTCTCACATGCGTGAGAGGACCGTGGAAGGTGCTGCTTCAGCCCGTCCACAGCCCACCAGTCCGCCACTACACAACACACACACACAACGTGACGAACTGCGTGAACCGAGAACGGGCGTCAATCAGCAACCTTCCTATCCACGACACTTGACGTGTCGGGATAGTCTCGGACTCAAGTCACTCGTGCAGCCGAGGCCGCATGGGGACCGACTCGAGATGCACACTTCCCACTTGCGTGGGAGGCGGCAGTTGAGTGCATGAGGTGTGTGAGGGTTGACGTCTAGTGGGGTGATGATGTTAGGAGGTAGGGAGTGAGGGAATGTGTGGTGTGACCGGCGGTTGTCTACCGCAGGTCGTTGTGGATGCGCATGTGGCCGAATAGACCCATGCGATGCGTGAAGGTGCGAGGGCAGTGTCGGCAGTGGAGGCGAGTGCGGTGGGTGTAGGTTGGTGCTCCAGGCACTGGTTCGCCAGTCTCTGTGCGATGGATTCGCAAGTGACCGACCAGGCCGATGCGTGAGGTGAAGGTGCGTGGACAATGTGGGCATGAGAGGTCGGCGGTGTCGGTGTCAGCTGTAGAGGAGGCAGTGGTGTTGGTGGTGGCGGTGGTGGTGGTCGGCGCGTGTGACGGTGGGGCGAGAATGGGTCTGGGCGTGTTGGATGTCGTGGCTGTATCGGAATAAATAATAAGGTGCCTGCGTTCATGTATTTGTCTCCAGTTATGGCAAGGAAGTGATTTCTGAGAGCGCATGGGAAGGATTGAGATGAGTGCAGTGGTGTCAGCACCTACAAATCATTTTATGTTCGCTGGTTGGTTTAGACTGACGCTGGACGGTTTCTTTGCGGCATTCACATCACTCGTTCGTACTCCATAAAGATGCGAGAGGACTCGTCGATTGCTGGCTGAGGAAACAGATCTGTTAAGAGTAAGTTGGCAAACACATATTTTCGATAATTCATCGTCAGGCCAATACAATTAAATGGATACTGAACTCGTGAGCTATGGACAGGTTTTAAATATGTCTGAGAGGGCAGGGTTAGTCAGATTCCTTGTTCCCACATCGCCTTCGTGATGCAGTCAGCGTGTTGAGGACGGTAGGGCTGGACTGAGGGGGAGGAAGGAGCGGGGTTCGGGTTAGATTGCGATCGCCGTCTGTGTGTCAAACACGCTGACTGCGTGTGACTGTTCTCAGGGCGTCGGGGGGAGGAGGGGGAGGGGGCGTGCGATGACCAACTGGAGTCAACCAAGGAAGACCGACTGCCTGTGCCAACATCTTCTAACAACAAAATGCCGGATTCGCTAATCGAATGGCCACTGCCTCGGCTGTTGCCAGCACCCGCTTACGCAGGCCTTTAGAGTAGTGTGTTGGCGCCCAGTAGATAACTTGAAAGTCTTCTTTGGGGTCGATTTGGTGGTTCGTATAGATTAGATGTGTGAGAATCGAACTTGAAATCGATCGATTTTCCTCTTTGCCTAGCCAGGCAAGCATGCGTTTGCGTACCCTCCTTTTCAGACTCCTCGTTGTACGGCTAATGTTCCCCGCTCCACAGGAGCAGGAATGAAGGGTGCGCACTGTTAAACATTTGGCCCCGGGCGCCGGTGTCGGTGGTACGCTCTTTCAAGCAGAAGATATTGTCCGTGTACCCACCGTAGAAGCCAAGATCATTAATAGTATTTTGTAACCTCGTCTTCTCTACTCTTCCCATGAAAATATTCGAGAGAAACGAATCAAACGATGAGCACATCGCCACGCCGTCTATTTACCTGTATAGTTGGCCGTTGAAGATAGACTGAACATTTTTTTCTGTAATATGTTGGGAGTTCTTTTCACGTTTTCATTGGCATACCTGTCGGGTAGTTTGTTTCCGCGATGCAGTCACATAGGTAGCTTGTTATCTTTACTGCGGGCACGGTGGTGAACAGTCATGAGACATCTAACGACAGCACCGTTACAGCAACATTACTATTCTTGATAGCCTCGACAAACTCAAAGGTGTCTTTCAAACTTGTCGGATGTGATTAGCACGATATTTTCATTTTCACGAAGCCCCTTGAGACTATCGAGGTGGACCCTTGTCAGGGGACCTTCGTTGCTTGGAGCCTTCCTTAAATACTGCTGACAGCAGTTTATCAGATTCGATTTGAGGTAATCATCTTCTTTAGGCTCAGAGGGTTTTGGTTCAGTAGTCTGCCAAAGGTGACTCTCGAACTGGATTGCGAGCCCTAATTGCACTCCGAGGGTACTCCAACGTACGGACTGGCAAAGTGGCTGTTCCGGTGTCTCAAGTTCCTGACCACTGAGTCAGACACCACGTCTGTTTGTCGGCACAATTCCTAGAGAAACTTAAAGGGGGTAAGCTTTCTTCCATGTGAGGTCACGGTATCACTTGATATCACGTCCCTTTTTACTTTGTTCCCCAATAGCTGGCGATCGAGACCATCGAGCTGCTTCGATGAAAGGGGAAATCGTCTTGGGCACGCCTAAATCCTTCAGCTCCTGTAGTCCAGTTTCAAGACGTACTTCACGTTTGATGGAACAATCTACGAGCAGGCGAAGGGAACGCCAACGGATTTGTCGATTTCGGGACTCAGCTCCGAGGCGGTCCTGTAATGGTTAAAGTTGTTGGTATTCCAACACCACAGACCGAAGTTCTGGGCCCGGTATGTCGATGATACCTTCGTCATCATCCTCCGGGATCAACTGCTAATATTCAAGGAACATTTGAATGCGGTCTTTCTGGACATACAATTTACAATGGAGGAGGAGAACAACCAGCTGGCCTTCCGGGATGTCCTCGTATGTCGCAAAGATTGTGGTGACCTTGAAGAAGGAGACACGATTGCTGGGACAAGAGCTTTATTAGCCTGACGTTTCGGATTCCTGCTCGAACCCATCATCAGAGACAAAAGCAGAAACGGGTGGTTGATGCACAATAACTTCTGCAAGCGTTCAGAGCTTATGGCTGCCCGCCTAACTTCGTCAGCTGGTGCATGCGCAGACGGAAGGAAAGACCAAGTCGCAGGAATCCCGAATTTTGGTGAGCGCTTCTGTAAGTCTTGAATGTCTCGTGAGTCGTCAGCCGACTTCTCGTACCACTCGGGGTTAAAGTTTCTCACACCCCGGATACTGCCATCAGGCGTCAGTTAACGAGACCTTAAAGATCTACTGTTACGACAAGAAGCGTCTGCGGTCGTTTATCGAAACTGGTGCAGTTCCGCACAAGGTAACTACGTCAGAGAAACCGGAAAACTGCCGCGAACGGGACTGGCAGAACACACAGCAGTAGTGCTGAGAAATGACGCCAGCTCTCAAGTTGCGAATCATTCGACGAGGTCCGTCCACACATTCGAATTCCATGGGGCCGAAATTCTCGCTGAGGTCGACAATTGCGAAACCCGCAAGCTACTTGAGTCACGGTTCACTGGTACTCAGTCTATTAACAAGTGCAATGACCTCCCCCTGCATATTCGATGTTGAGAATTCGTCAAGGCGGAGTAATTAGCCATGCGGGGAGCGCACAGGTGAACACTTTTCCCAGCACCAAGGTCGGTGCGTTAGATGGTCGAACAATCACTATGCCAACATCCAATGCACGTGGTGAAATTGCAGCAAGTAACGACGCCAAACAATTAGCCCACCAAGTGCGACGTTCGCGGATAAAGGGAGAAAGCCTTGAATATTCAATTGGTATCCGGTGGTATGGCGATTGCATCCGATAAATACTACAGCCCCTTGTGCATGAACCATCCGCATCTGCTGATGGGTTCGTGCAGGAATCTGGAACGCCTGGCGAAAAGCTCTTGTTCCAGAGATCGCATCTCCTTCTTCACAGTTGGTTGATTTTCAAACCAAAAAATGACTCTATTTTCAGCCTTAAAGTGGCACCTCCACTCGAAGTTCGAAAGGTGACCAGCCAACATGGTCGACTCTACCGTCTTACTTACTTGTACTTGATACGACTCTGATCATGCCTGATCTAGCCGGCCTCGATGACGCCAAGAACTGTACCTCTCCACGCGTGACCATCCGCGGCAGCAGATCTGGACAGCTCAACCCATTCCCTTCGCCAACGGCGGAGACCGAATGCCGAAATTCCAAGAACCACCTCCATGTCTTGACGAACTGTGTCGAGCCAGGTTTTGAACTGACCCCCTCTTCGACGCCTCCAATGGGGCAACGGTGCCGGATCGAGGGCAGTAACACTGAGCTCCTGAGGCGGACGACGAAGAACATTCCCGAACCACCTGAGTCGTCTTTCTTGTATGGTCTGAGTTATCTTTGCGATGTTGTCGCAGTGAGCGAGGACTGTCTCATTTGAGACGAAGTCGGTGAACTTCACTTGAAGGATGGTCCTCAAGCAGTGGTGGTCAAATACCTCCATTTTTCGCTCGTGCTCCACGCGCAAAGCCCAGCATTCACACCCATAGAGAAGGACAGACCGGCCAGATGCACGGTACACACGAATCATAGTGGCAATGGAGAGGTCACGTACGATCCATAGGCCTTTCCGAAGGCTTGAGAAAACCCAGTGGGCAGCATCGATTCGGGAGACAGCGTCGTCCTTACACTGTCCATTAGGCATCAGCCTCGCCCCGAGGTATTTAAAGCTGTCTACTTATTCAAGTTGACAGCCATCAATCCCGAGGTGTGCCTTCTCCTGGTCAGGGGTGCAGCTTGTAAACACTTTGGTCTTCCCAGCGTTAATGGACGAACGGACCGATTCAGCGACCTCGTTCACCCGTGACACCATAGACTGAAGATCACCAAAACTTGAAGCAAGTAAGGCGATATCATTGGTATAGTCGAAATCAGTCAGTCGATGTCCGGGTACAAACTCAACGCCGTCACTCTCGCGTAGGGCCCTACCGAGGATCACTCTACCGCCTGTACCAAACCGATTGGCTGTAAGGGGTGTATCGTGGCGGCTGAATAACCACCCTGCCCGAGACGTCGCGTGTGTCGGCGCGTTAGCGTCACGTGATGAGCTAATCGATTCATCGCCCGGACACGCGAGCAGCAGGCAGGTCCCCAGCGGCGTGGCTCAACGGGTGTCCGTACGGCCGAATAATTGAGGCTCTCGCGGCCTACGGGACATGGATGTCGGCCGAGAGCGCCTGCTGAACTACCAGTCCTGGGATTCCTGGATCGCTGACTGGCTTCACAGCGAGAGTTCTGCCAACAAAGAACAGAAGGTGGAGCGAAAAGTTCGGCCTCCTCAAGCCTTGGAACCAGTCGACAAAAGTGAATGCAACTCACGCAGCACGTTGCCGAGGACCACTTCTGGGGTCTTTGGTTTGCGACGTCGGAGATGGCATACGAGAAGCGCTAGCAGCAGCAGTAGCAGTGCGAGCAGCGGAAACGCACTGACCGATACCCTAGAAAATACCAACGTGGAGAAAAAGAAGCAGATCCGGGGTGATATCAGCGCTGATACATCAACCAAGAGCACCAAATCGAAGAGTAAGAAGAACACAGATTCCGTAACCACAACAGAAAAGAGCAAACGGTCTACCAACAAGACCAGGCGTCCACCAAGTTCCAGCAATCTGTCAGAACAACCTTCCAGTTGTACAACCCCCTCGGCGAATAAACGCGTCCGGCCGAGTGGAGACATTCGTCCAAAGACGCAGCAACATCTTCCAACTCTGCCCTACAGCAGTATGAAGAAGACACGGAAAACTTTAACGAAACCGGATCAGATTTCTGATAGTATTAGCACTTCCAGGAAAAGGGATGTGAGTAGAAGTAAACGAACTGGTTCCTCTTCGGGAACGAGGACCCGCCCGCGTAGCAGGACTGCAAAGAGGCCAACAACACAGTCTAGTCGGGAATCTCGGTCACCTGACTCTGAAGTCAGAAGTGCGATCCCTAAGCCGAGAACGCGGCTATTACGTGAGGCAGAGAGGTTAGCTAAACTAACATCAGAAGGGAATGAACTCACACCGCCAGTAACAGAATGCCCTTCCAAGGACCACGCGAAGAAATCCATAGCACGGAGTAAACCTTCCTACCCTAGACCTCAGGTCCCATCTCAAACCGGCGCAAAGGCTAAACATCGACAAGTTCCAGACACGTGGGATGAATTGAAACGACTGAAAGAAGCCCATGAATCGAGGAGTTACTCGGTGCTTAAAAGGATTTCGGACGAATTAGAGGCCTTTAGACGCTGTCCTCTCAAGTCGAAGCTCGATAACGCTTCTAACGCGATGGAGGAGAAAATCTTCCAGAAGAACGCCCACCCAGCCAATCTGGCTTGGCAGAAGAGAGGTACGCGAAAGCCGCCCTCAAGAGCCCACAGCCGATGTGAGAGCAGACGCAGAGTCCGTCGTCTAGAGGAGGAGAAAGAGAAGATTGAACGTCACAGAGAGTTTATGCGGAAGGCTGGAATAAAGATAAAGCGGGCAGGCGGGGCGAAAGAGACCAGTGGCAATCCGTGGACGAATGCGAACAATTACACCTCATCCACCGACTCGGGCCCATTCTTGCGTCTGTCTGAGCTACGTTCGACCAGTGAGTCTGAGGATGCAGGTAGTAAGGGAATGCCTACATTCGAGGAACCTCCGCTTCAAGGTCTCACATCAATGCTGTCAACTTCGTCGGCGGGGATGGGTGCACATCCTCCGGCTTCCGATGTGGGATCGAAGAATGATGGTCTGATACCACCCAAATCGACGACTGCAGCAGGGGAAGCCAAGGAGACCGAGGATTTGACCTTGAAGTTGCCACCAAGCGCCATGAGTAGCTTGACAGGGACGAGTTCACCAAGAACGAGGTCCCCTACGTCAGAGAGCGCTTCTTCCTCCAAGAAGACGAGGAATAAGGGTAAGATGAAGGTGGAAGATAGCGCAAGGAGTGGATCAAGGCCTAAACGGGGGGAAAAAGTTACTGGAGCCGGCGAAATATCCGACGGCAAAAAGAAGTCCAAAGATAAAAGTAAAAAGGGAAAGGCAGGCAGTAAGAAGGGAAAGGAGAAAAAGGAGAGCAAAAGTAAGAAGGAAGGTGGAAAGAAAAAGAAGGCGGCTGGTAAGAAAAACGGAAAGGGTGTTGGGAAAAAAGCGAAAAAGGCAGCAAGGGTGAAGAATCAGAGCAATAGCAACGGTCTCGACGAACGATTCTCGTCCTTCTCCACGACATCCACCGAAAATCCAAACGATCAAACGCTCAAGGCTGTGCCTGACCTTGATTTCTTCATGGTGGAGACTGAGGAGGAGGAGGAGAATTCCAGTGAGGAGAATCCCTTCCTTTCCCAGCAGTCAGTCTCCTTTGACAGTGAGACCCTCAACCTTTTGGACACAGCCCTGAGTCGTGGAAAGCGTGTGGCGTTGAGTCCTCTCAGAAGACGCCCACAGAAAGCCTCCTCCTTGCATCCTAAGAGCGCCAGTCATCCGAAGAAGGCTTTCAATGCTGGCAGCAACGATCAGAGTCGAAGGAGCATTCCAAGAAAGTCGGTCGGAGGCAGGAATCCCGCCTCGAGTTCCCTGCCTCGGAAATTTGCTGAGAGGGCGTCGTCGGCTGGGAGTGGTCGGGGGCAGATTCATGCTGTCGCCCGAGCTCACAGTCAAAGTCCAGTGATAGGCAATCGAGGATTTAAGCCTGTGGCAGTCGCCGCGGGGAGCAAGCAAGTTGAAAAACAGGCGGTTGGAACGGCGTCTCTGCAGACGAACAACGCCAGCGCGGAAACTGCCAGAATGCTTCGGAAACTTCACCTGACGCACCTAAACAAAATCCTTGGAAGCGGCGGCCTTGACAGTGGTAAGAGGCGAGAACGTGGTTTCCAGGGGACAGCCGGGTTGGGGACTACTTGCAACAACTCCGTCGAGGGACAGAAGGGGGAGGATGCCGTGAATGAGGAGGAAGAGGAAGAGGAGGAGGAGGAGCGGAGACCGGCAGAAGCCGAGACTGTGCAAATTCCACTCACTGGGTGCACAACTGGGTCCAACAGACTTCACTATGATAACAACAGCAGCGGGGATGACGATGCCGCTAACGATGATGATGAGGATGAGGAGGAGGGGGAGGGGGAGGAAAAGGAGAAGGAAGAATACAGCTGTGAGGACTGTTCCAGCTCTGAGGAAGACAGCTGCACTGACGATGATTTGTCCATCGAGGGCAAGGAGTTGCAGATTTACGTAACCATTACAAGCTCCGAGATAGATGACATTGCCATGCCCTTCAGAGCAAGTAATGCAATGCACCGAGCCCTCGCAGAGGCCTACAAAATGTACGTGGAAAACAAAGCTCGAAGACAGGCCTTCTTCACATTGGGGGGAGAAAGAAGACACGGAGCGTCATCACTGAGGAGCCCTTGGCCGGAACGAGCTACGAAACCGTCCGTCAAACCCACCGTGAATGTGTTCAGGCTGGTTCAAAGGTTTCTGAAGAGATCGGCCACCGCCAGGAAGCGGCGACATCCACGTCAGAGTTCGCAAAATAACCGGGCGGTGGAACGTATAAACAGTGGTCGCTCTTCAAGACGTGTCATCAAACAAACCTACCGGCCCATGCGACTAAACTCCCGCCACCCTCTGCGGCGCGTACTCCAATACTTGAGCAGCCAGCACGATCGACGCATATTTTCGATTGAGAACCAAATTGACGGACGAATGCTGCTGGACGAGGACAGAGTTTACTTTGTGCACGGGCTGCCATGCCTGCTTTTGCGAGTGCTGGCGCCAAGCTTTGCAGACATACGGCGTGGGCTGACCCTGATTGAGGAGATGATGCCTCGGCTGTTTGCCCGACTCTTGGTCGCTGATCGACTGCCCAGTATGCACTTACGTGAGGAGAGTACAAGGGCACCCACCAAAAACAATTTTACCAAGTGCGGCTGGTATCAGAATCGCTTCAGGGAGCCTGCCTTTGTCGCATCAATGCACTACTTCGGAATGACTCCGGCAGGCTTCCGTGTGAATCAGGCCCAATGGGATTGCCCAGGCAGGCGATGCAGGGATGTTGAATTATTCGCGCAGGGCGATCCTGCGTTTGCGTCAGATCTGTGTCTAATACAATCACGTGATTTACTTTCCGCCGAAAGGAAACATTTTATTTTAAGTTAGTCGCGGATATGA